GCAGGGTGGTTATAAGTCAGCTGCTTGTGTCCAGAAATTGCATTTATTTATTGCAGATGTATCTCACTTTTCAGTCAAACGTGTTCTCTCCAAGCTGCTTACAGGTGTTAAAATTCAGCCTGCAGTGCCATGTTGGGTGTTGTACTTAAACGAAAAAAAGATGCGTACAGTTCGGGTCACCGTATCTCAAAAAGGACATTGCAGAGCTGGAAAAAGTACAGAGGAGGGGCAACTAAGATGATCAGGGTATTGGAGCACCTTCCCTATGTAGAAAGGCTGAAGAGTCTGGGACTTTTCAGTTTAGAAGAGAGATGACTAAGGAGAGGGATGTAATAGAGGTTTATAAAATTAAGCACGGGGTGGAGAGAGTTGACAGGGGGAGAACTTTTTCTCCCTCCCCAAAAACTAGAACTTGAAGGGCATCCAGTGGAGCGGATGGGCAGTAGATTCAGGACAAACAAAAGGAAATATTTCTTTGCACAGAGCATGTTTAAAATATGGAATTCACTGCCAGAGGATGTAGTGATGGCCACAGGCATAGACAGCTTTAAAAGGAGATCAGATAGGGTCATGGAGGATAGATCTATCAGTGGCTACTAGCCATGGTGATTAAAGGGAACCTCCACATTCAGAGGCAGTCAGCCTTTAAATCCCAGTGCCAGGAGGTGACATCAGGGGAAGGCCTTGGCCTCTGTGCCCTGTTGTTGAACCTCCAGAGGCACTGGTTGGCCACTGTGTGAGACAGGATGCTGGAGTAGATGGACCCACTGGTCTGATCCAGCAGGGCTCTTCTTATGTTCTTAAGATATGGGTCCTGATTTTCAGGAACAGAGACAAAAGACCCACAATGGAAAAGTGGCAGAGGGAGCAGGGAGTGGATGGAGATCCGTTGAAGGCAGTATTTAGTATTTATTCATTTGGTGCATGAATTAGTTGCGAGGAAATTGGCGAGAAGGCTTGGCGTGATCTGGTCCATGAATTAGTTGCACGTCCATTTCAAAAGTTGTCAAAGCACGGAAGAACGAGTTAACGTTGACTGATGTCACTGCTCTGGAGCAGTTTCTGCAGTGCCCTCCTCCTGGCTCCTCTGAAGGGCTGTAGAATGAAGACAGCCACCTGCAGCCTTCTCAGCCTCCTGCGATGGAGAATGTCTTGCTGTTGAAACTTAGGCCCAGTCAGAGCCAGGCTGAGCTTTCCCTTTAGGTAGTCTTGCTGGGATGGAGATGGGGGAGCTGCCCAGCAGCCTTTGGGCCTCCAGCCAGGGAAAGGAGCCAGAGCACTCTTCCCCATGCGTGTTTTCTGGCCAGTGGCAGGAGCCAAGCTTGGCTTCTTCCTTGCTGTGCCACTCCATCCTGGGAGGATGGGAATGCAAACTCCCAGGGGTTCTGGGCCTCCTGGCCAGCGAAGGGGGCTAGAGTGCCCTTACCCTCACTAGAGCTGGTGCAGAAATAGGGTGTCGTTCTTCATTTCTGAGCCACTGAAGCTAGGAAGAGTTTTCGTTCCCGCAGTGTGACTCTGGGCTTTTTTCTTTCCCTTCCTGTGGGGCACCAGTGTTGTCGTGCCAGTCTGTCAAGTAATTTTTGTGGGATTATTAGGTCACAAGACTTTTTAGAGAGGTGCTGTGTAAGGGTGAAAGTGTCAGGTTCAGAAAGGAAAGGCCGAGGTCTCAACCCCAGTGCGATTCACTGAGTGGCCTTGGGCCAGCCTCTCTCCAGTTAGTCTACCTCACAGGGTGGTTGTGAGGATAAAGTGGAGTTTAGGAGAGAGACGAACTTGCCTCAGACCTGAGTTCCTTGGAAGAAGGGTGGGATGAAATGTACTCCTGATTTTCCTGCCTGCGTGTACATAGCTAACTGTAGCCGTTTATGGACTACAAGAGTTCTGTGAATGTGTTCATCACCCAGAGGCGATTCTGACTTGTTGCAGTTGCCCAAGTGAACGACTGTTGACAGGTTCTGCATGGGAGGATGTTTGGTACTGCAGAGTTGCCCCAGCGACATTTCCTTAGGAAGATTGTGCATGGATTCTGCTTGGGGTGTGGCTGTTATATTTGGGGTCAAGAAAGTGCCCCTCTCTTGAGTAGCTGATTAGTGGTATGTGGTGGATGGTGTGTGTGTGTGTGAGAGAGAGAGACTTCTGCATTGTACGATTTGGTTTACTTGCAGCAGTTATCTGAAGCTGTGGGTTCTTCAACCACCTTTTTATGCTTTACCTGCTGTGCTTGTTGCATGATTAGGGTTGCCTGCTACCAGGAGAGAACATTGTCCTGTCCCTTTAAAGGGAAGTTATTTACCTGGTGATTTGATTTACCTGCATGCCATGAAAAGCTTCAGTTGCTCATTTCCACATACTAAACTTTCTAGTAAAAGAACAGGACATTTTTATTCTCCAGGCATGTTGGCAACCATAGCTGTGCTTGATACATGAGGGACCATTGTTGAAGGCTAACTTTTCCTCCATCCCAGGTGGCTGCTCTGGTATTAGCCCTGCCCTGGCTGCTTAGGAACAGAATAATAATTTTAAAAAAATGGAATGGAGACAGGTAACAAGAATGTGAAGTTTGAACATGTAAACCACTAAGCCAGGTCAGAATTGGCTTGCTTCAGACCAGACTTGCCAGACGAAACACACTCTCTGGATTTGTACTGCAAGTCTGTGCTTGCTCCCCTCCATACCAGTTCCAAACGAAGCCTTCTCACCTTCCACTGCCCAGCGTGGCACAAAGAAAGCTCTACTTTTTTCCTACCAGCAGCAGTCCAGTTTTTCCACTTACTCAGCAGGGTGCAAATGCTTCCCACCAGTAGTTCCCCCAAGGGCAAATCCAAGCATCGCCTCTAAGCATGAAGAAGTCAAAGAAGCACCCAAAGGGAAGAGTGAGGTTTTTAGGGTTGTCCTCTGCAAGTTTCTCTGCTTCCAGCTGCCAACAAGGGTAGGCTGTCAGTCTACTAATTCATTGACTCTCCCATAATGTCGTTTTTCTGTCTTAAGTGTGTGTGTGTGGGGGGGGGGGCTCGCTGCCCTTGAGCCAGGGATGCCGCTTCCTTTTCTGTAATGTATTAACGCAGCCTCGGGGTCCAAAAGGCCTTGGAACTCGATGAGCTCTGTTAATGATAGGCCAGAGCATGAGTCTTCAGTTTTCTCTGCCCTGTATAGTGACCCCTTTCAGCTCTTTGCCTCTGGCTTCTTGTCATGGTGGCCTGTGGCCATAATCGTGATTGGTGGCATTCTTTTTTCAAGAAAAACCTATGTTTTATAAAGCATTTAGCTCAAAGGGTACCTCAAAAGTACAAACTGAACAAGAAATGAATGATAGCTTGTATCGTTAAATCTTGTCTCACATTGTTTCAGAAATAATGGTTTCAGACATACAAAACTATGCCAGAGCTTAACAGGGGCAGGCCAATTAATTCATAAACATAATGTTCTGGGCTGTAGTCAGGCACTCTGGTTGACTTGGAATGTTTCGGTACTCCCTTTTGCCCAGCTGCTGTAAGGAGATTTCTATCTAAAGTAGGGTTCTCTGTATTCAAATAGAGGTGTGTGTTGTTTTTAAATACATTTGGGATAATTACAGTACTTCTGTTCATAAAATCAGTTGGGTGTTTTCTGCCGTTTTCCCCAGCGAGGTCAGCTTTTAAAACATTTCCATAAAATACGTTGGATAGTATTAAATACAAATACTGTTGGAATATTTGGGTGAGGAGCATGAAATGAAGCAGGCAAGCGAAGCTGATCATAGCGAACACACGTTTCAGGCAGCCAAAAAGATGATCGTATAAATGGACATTGCTGAGTGGCCGATACAGAAATGTTTTGGATATGGGATGTTTTGGAAGTCATTAATTTATAGGGCCGCCAGAATTTGGAAGTGACTTGGTGGCACTGAACACACCCACAGATATTAATACAAAGTATCTCCAACTAATAAAAAGTAGAGACATCACCCTGCCAACAAAAGTCCGCATGGTCAAAGCAATGGTATTCCCAATAGTCATGTATGGCTGTGAGAGTTGGACTATAAGGAAGGCCGAGCGCCGAAGAATAGATTCTTTTGAATTATGGTGCTGGAGAAGACTCTTGAGAGTCCCTTGGACTGCAAGAAGATCAAATCAGTCAATCCTAAAAGTAATCAACCCTGACTGTTCCCTGGAAGGCCAGATAATGAAACTGAAGCTAAAATACTCTGGCCACCAAATGAGAAGGGAGCACTCACTGGAGAACACCCTGATGCTGGGAAAGATTGAAGGTCAAAGAAGACGGGGATGGCAAAGGATGAGATGGTTAGACAGTGTCATAGATGCAACGAACATGAAGTTGAGCAAACTTCAGAGGACGGCGAAAGACCGGAAGGCCTGGCTTGATCTGGTCCATGGGGTCGCGAAGAGTCGGACTCGACTGTGCGACTGAACAACAACAACAACAAAAATCTCCAACTAATAGTGGGGGTTGTTTGTTTAGAAAATGTTTCTGCCGCCCTTCTTGGGAACCTGCCTGAGGTGGCTTACAAAATAAAACAACTTGTTAATTAAAACCCAGAATTAAAAACCCAGCCAGAACACAAAAACATAAATCACTGAGCAGCTTAAAATGAATTTAAGAGTTTTCAGGCTAAAAGCGCAGTATAGGAATGGTGTCAAGAGATCAGCCCCCTAATTAAAAGCCTGGGTAAACAGAAACCTTTTGGCCTGGTGCCTAGAAGAGAGTATCGTAGGTACCAGGTGAGCCTCAGGGGAAGGGCATTCTGTAGGTGAGGTGCCACTGTACCAAAAAATAAAATAAAAAATGCCGTGTCTCTGGTTTGCATTCTGCTTAGTCTAAACAGTGTATGACATCACTGATAAGATTGGAAACAGACAAAAAAGGATTTAATACAAATTGAAGGATAATGCCCTGTTTTACATCGCTAACACAATTCTGAAATAATAATTATGCATGGGGTGGAGGGAACTGAAAAAGAGAAATTTTTCTTCCTCTCCCAAAATACTAGAACTCAAGGGCATGGGTGTCGAACTCATCTGTTATGAGGGCCGGATCGGACATAAATGAGACCTTGTTGGGCCGGGCCATGTGTGTCATAAAATGTAATGCCAGGTAGGGGAGATATAAACTTTATAAAGGACACAAACACAAAGGGTTTTTTTAACTTAAAATAAAAACCTGCTTAAAACATTAGCACTCTTGCAATATTTTGTTTATCTAACAGTGTCTGATAACTGACACCTCTTCCTCTGAATTATTGCATCAAAAGGTCTATGCTGTTGCAATCTTGAGTATGCTGTTCAGGTGTGTTTCCAGAAGCTGCAAACCTATGATGATGCAGCAGCAGCAGCAGCAGCAGAAGATGGCCAGTTCCACTGTGGGCCTGATAGAAGCCCTCCGGGGGCCTGATTTGGCCCCCGGGCCGCATGTTTGACACCCCCGCTCAAGGGCATCCAATGAAGCTGATGAGCAGTAGATTCAGAATGGTCTAAAGGAAATACTTCGTTACACAGAGAATGACTAAAATGTGAAATTTGCTGCCAGAGGATGTAGTGATGGCCACAGGCACAGACAGCTTTAAAAAGGGATTGGGTAGCTTCATGGAGAATAGGTCCACCAGTGGCTACTAACCATGGTGACTGAGGGGAACCTCCACCTTTAGAAGCACTAAATCTCTGCATCCCAGAGCCAGGAGGCAACATCAGGGGAAGTTCTTGGCCTCTATGCCCTGTCGTTGGCCCTCCAGAGGCACTGGTTGGCCACTGTGTGAGAAAGGATGCTGGACTAGATGGACCGTTGGTCTGATCCAGCAGGGCTCTTCTCATGTTCTTATTACTGGAAAGGAGTCCGTTTAGTCTTTTCTGGTATCACATCTAACAACACATTTTATATATTAGTAATCCTTTAATGTTTATTGATCCTCTTAGAGGGGCTGGATCTTGCTATCTGTCAGTGAAAGGCACTGTGTATATATGTGTGTGTGTGTGTGTGTGTGTGTATATATATATATATATACACACACACACATATATACACACACACACACAGTTGTTCGACTCATACTTGTGTGCATTTAATTATCTAAGTACAAAACATTCTACAATGAGAAACAACAACAATCTCTGTCGGAGCAGTACAAATAATAGAACAAGGGAGAGAGAAAAAATGTCCAGTGAGACTTTCCAGATCTGTGTGAATAGTTCACGAGCTCCGGGATGTATTACATCCCTCGTCGCGTCCTGAGAGACATCTCTCTCCACAAATAAAAGCCTCTCCACATCAGTTCTTTCTAATGGGAAGCCACTAGACGTTTTTACAAAACAGGCATGTAGCTTAACGTTTTTAGTAGGAGGAAAGACCCGCCGTCCAAAGTGAAAGCTGCTAACAAATGCCTCCTTTAGGACGTGACGAGGGACGTTTGTTTGTATTGCTCCGACAGAAGTTGTTGCTGTTGTTGGTTTTCATTGTAGAATGTGTTGTACTTAGATAATTAAATGTGCACCAGTATGAGTTGAACTTAACAGCTGTATTTGTATGTATATATACCGTTGAGTGGAAGGCACTGACCTTTCCTGTGTTGATCCCCCGCACTCCAGTCCTTTCTGATCTAAAGGTAGTTTATTCCCAGGATCACAGACCTGTGTGGACTAATAGCTGCATAGGTTGGGAGGCTGCAATGGAAGGGGGGGTGAAATCTTCCATCAGCACACCTGCACTGGTGAAACATACAAACAGGGCAATTTCATCCCTTTCCCAACTACAGACTCCCATCTCCTGTGGCTATAAGACCACATGGGTCCTGCGGCCCCAGGAATAAGCTTTTCCAGGGTTAGAAAGGACTACAGTTTGGTGTAGTGGTTAAGTGCACGGACTCTAATCTGGGAGAACTGAGTTTGATTCCCCACTACTCCACTTGCAGCTGCTGGATGACCTTGGGCAAGCCATAGTTCTGACAAGAGCTGTCCTTGAAAGAGCTCTCTCAGCCCCACCTACCTCACAGGGTGTCTGTTGTGGGGAGGGGAAGGGAAAGGAGTTTGTAAGCCACTCTGAGACTCTGAGTGAAGGGCGGGGTATAAATCCAATCTCCTCCTCTTCTTCTTCTACATGAAGGAGGGCAGCGCAGGAAAGATCCATGATCCTCAGTCCAGGGACCATGGAATCCATTGCAGTTCTCAGATTCTTTTTGACGCGTGCTGGCACCATTATTTAAAATGTGGTCTGCTGCTCAGGAGGCAGACAGATCTTGAGTGGTGTTTTGTACCTTTTAATATTCTTTGCTGGGAGAACAGCTGCAGCTACTGCTACTGTATGACTCACTTTATGCTAGCATTGTACTGGGTGCCGTACAGAATGCACCTGTGATTTAGTTGCCTGTCCAAAGGGCTTCCAAGAAATGTTAGGCAGGTGTCAGGGAAAAAAGCTCCAGTGGTCGTATGTGTGCCACATACACACCCCTGAAAATTTTCAAGTTGCCGGTTCCAGAATGATGGGTTTGCCCCGGCAGGGAGGGCGGGGTATATATCAAATAAATTAAATAAATAATCTCCCTGGAGTGCATAAATGGGATTTGCTAACCCTTAGGGTCATTACTGTAAATGGGGTTTGTTTCCTGTCCAGATTAGTTTGGTCAGCACCCCTGACTTCTTTTTTCCTCTCAGCTTTCCCTAGCACCACCTTGCGGATTGGCTTGCTGGCGTGGATTGCCAGCAGCTTCACTTTCCGCTGGTGGCCCTTGGTGGTGCAGGTTGGATATGGGGCTCAATGGGCTCCAGATCCTCTTCCAGCATTGACAGTTCTGAGCCACACAACAGCCCACTTCGTCTGTATCTGGGTTAATCTCTGAAATGGTTGGACTGGTGGTGCATGGCAGTTGCTCACCCGCTTCTTCCACCACTACCCAGAAGTAGCCAAACAATCTCCTAGGGATCAAATTAAAAAAATGCCTTTAGGGAAGCTGGGGATCTGACTGCCAGGCACCTTCCGTGTGGTGTAGTTTGCTAAAAGGAGAGGTGCTGGGGTCAGAAATCCTTGAATAGATGCCTCTTCGTTCTAGATGTGTGTAGGCTGGCTATGTTCCTGATGGGGGGCCCTTTGTCCTTTTAGGAGTGGGAGCAAGGTCCCCCTCCTACTGTACCTGAACAAGAGCTCCTTTGGGGTTGAAGCCATTTCCTGTTCCTCCTTTCCTGCCTCTTCCGAATATGCTTCTCCCCCTTCAACTAAGCCTCTTAAGAAGCGGAGAGAGCAGTAGAGGACAGAGCCAATCGCGTCCCCCGTCCTTAATCAGCTGTGTTTATACAAGCCTTAAGAGAGTCATAACTCTTTTTTTTTTTTTGGCAAATTAACTTTCCAGTTGTTGTGCAGAAACATTTGCGGCGAGCTTAATGGACTCTAGAAGGGATCTGTTTCTTTCGCCCATTCGCTTAAGCGGAAAGCGCCAGGAAAGGGGGTGGTCCCCTCTGAGCAGGTTCTGCCTTACATTTCTGAGTCCTGGCAGTTTCCAGGTTTGGGGCTTGCTACTGGTTCTTCAGGAGTGGCTCAGTTTGGGTTACTGAGTTGGTGAATGGAGGGGTATTGCTTGTCCCTGTCCTGAAGGACATGTGCCTTCTGAGTCGGGGATCCAAGCACCCCCAATTTTTCCCCCCCATGAGGGCAGGAAACTAACTGGAGACGTAGGAAGGGTGAGGCAGGCACAGAGCCGTGCGTGGCAGCTAAGAGCACCTTCTGACGGCTGCTTTCACCATATAGAAAAGTTGTCTCCTGAGATCTGGGCACATTGCCATAATAACTCTATAAATGTACAAGTTGTTGAATATCCACTCAGCATTTTCCTTCTGACTCTGGACACAGCTCATGTTTTTCCCCCCCTCCAAAGTTCTTTATTGAGGTCTAGAACCATTGTTCTGTTTATTCATTTATTTTTAAAATAAACCTTACCTGGCTTTCAGTTCGTAATACAAGTGGCTGTGTAGTAGCCAATTTGCCCTCTGCAAGGGAAGAAGCAGAAGACATGGGGGAAAGGAGTTCTGGGACTGTAAACCAGGCACAGGTTACAAGGTATGCTGTTACGTGCAGGGTGTGACATTGAAGAGAAGACCAGGTGTGTCTAGAAATCTGAATGTGATTTGGCCACCCATTTGACGGGCGCTTGGGGTTTATCCTGTTGTGGGTGCCTTCCAGTTTTCAGTTGCAATTTTCTGGGTGAGCGTTGCATTTTGGGGAGGTGTCAGTGGATTGTGGGTGAGCTTCGTTGAGAGGGCGGAGATGGAGACGCTCCCTTGGCCGCTGGGGCTGCTCATCCCGTGTCTTTGTGTTTCCTTCAAATTTCTTTCTCTTCAGTCTGTGGGAAGCGCTACAAGAACCGGCCTGGGCTGAGCTACCACTACGCACACTCCCACCTGGCTGAGGAGGAAGGGGAGGACAAGGAGGACTCTCAGCCCCCCACGCCTGTCTCTCAGAGACCCGAGGAGCAAAAAAGTGAGGCTGTTCTCCTTCTGGGGCTCTTAATGACAAGTTCACTCTTTTGTAGCAGCTTCTCTCCACCCTGACTTAATTTGAGCCAGAGGCTGATATTCCGTTAGTGTTAGGAGAAGTGCTGTCACAAAATCAGAGTGCCTCTGTGTGTGTGCAGAGTGCTTTTCATATACCCAAACAAACTTTGCATATCAGTTTAGGAGAACTGTCTTGAAGGTTGAGGGGTATGTCTTGCTGGCACGTTTGAGCCCCTGGGGTCTTTCATTTTAGAAATTAAGCATCGTATATCCCACTGCACTTCCCACCCCGTTGTGCTCTGTGGTGCACAGTTACAACACTGTGTGCAGCCATGTCACAGTCAGGGCTATGGCCCGGTGGTTTAAGTGTAACCAGGACCCAGGAGAACCTTGATTCAGGTCCCCACTCTAATCCCCACTCAGTCATGAAATTCAGTGGGCGAGTCTAACTAGTCACCCTCTCAGCCTGGCCCAGCTCATAGTGTGGTTGTGAAGAACAAATGGGGAGGGGAGAAACATGTATTCTGCCCTGAGCTTCTTAGAGGAAGGGTGGAAGAAAGACGTGAGAGCTAAGGCTGAGTTACTGGGCCTTTCTGAAGCTAGGCCTTCAGATGCCAGCAGTGTTCTGCTAAAGTAAATCTACAGTTTTACAGGCAGTCAGTGTCAGGAAGACAGGATGAGGGTAGAAGAGCCAGCCAGCAAGCTGAGGAGACACTGGAGAAGCAGAGTGGGAGAACTCACATATAAACTCTTTGCAGACCTGGACCTGGTGTTGTTGTCTGCCACGACTCACTTGTCCATTGCAAATGGCTTATTTCCCAGCAGCCAAGAAGGGCCCCGATGGTTTGGCCTTGCCCAACAATTACTGCGATTTCTGCCTGGGAGACTCCAAAATCAATAAGAAAACGGGACAGCCGGAGGAGCTGGTTTCATGCTCTGACTGTGGGAGATCAGGTATGTGACTGGGGAATGGAGGAAACCGGATCCTGCCCCTGGTTTTTCTTTGCAGAATATCTTCCTCATCACCTGCCAAAAAGTAGGGTACCCTGGACCATCCGATCCTGTTGACGGCTCGTGTAGAGTCCCAAGTCAGAACAGATGTGAGAAAGTTTATCTGCCGCGTGCTTAGCAAAATGGTCACAGCGAGCTGCAGAGCGGTCTGCCTTCTCCCGCTGGCCAGAACCCAGTAGGCCCCCGACCACCCAGAAGAGTTCTGCAGGTCTACACTGTGCGGATGCAATGGCGGCGGGAAAGTACTGCTTCTTTGCCGCCATCTCCACCACGCAGTAGGTTTTCAAATGCGCTCTAGCACGTGCCTTGTCAGATTTGTCCCAAGTCTCTCTCCACCATCGTTCTCGCCATCTCCCTTCATCGCCTGCAGCCCCTCAGTAAACCAAGAGGCTGTCCAGGCTCTTTGACCTGAGAGAGGGTGCCTAGGTGCAGTCGGGTTGGTTGTCCAGGTCACTTCTCCATTCCAGAGGTCAACTAGGGCATCGACAGCAGCACTGACCATATCAGCAGAAACACCCCCTACCCCATTTTTTGTTTCCTCAATTGTTGTGTTTGCATCCGTCTCATTCTTGAGCAGCTTTTTTTTTTTTTAATGGCCCCAACCACAAAACTTTTCAGGGCTAGTTTACACGTTACTAGGCAATGCTCCTTCTTAAGCTGTGGAGTCTTGGGAGCAAAAATTCTACTTTGTGAGCTACTGGGCATTAAAGTTGTGAGCGAGCGATTTGGCTGCTGCATAAATTAGCTTGCTCCGGAGCCATCCTTCCTGAGTTGGAGGCTAAAAAACTGTGAGCTAGCTCACACTAACTCAGCTTTAGAAGGAACACTGTTACTGGGACTGTTTTCTTAACTTGAGAGAGTGGTCTGTTCAAGTGGGAACTGGTTGGTTGTGGGTGTGGAAGCACCTGCTGCCTGAGAGTTTCATCATGGGAGACGTTAGAATCATGGAATCATAGAGCTGGAAGGGACCTCCAGGGTCATCTAGTCCAACCCCCTGCAAAATGCAGGAAATCCACAACCCCCCCCCCCACACCCCCAGTGA